CGGCCTTCTTGGTGCGCTGCAAACTTGCGGGGGTCGATGCCACTTTGGAGCTCTTCCATTATTTCTACCGCGTCACTCCCCAGAATGCCGACGGGTATCTGAGCGTGGCCGCACGTCCTGGGAGGCGGCTGTTCAAGAGCTACCCCTCGTCCATCCACGACTGGAAGAACCGCTTCTTCTTCCTTCGATACGACGGGCCTCCTCTCCCTCCCCGGTGGAATGGGTATCCCCCAAAGATTGAGTCACCGGAGCCGACCGACGATCTGCTTTTGGATGCGGAGAAGGTGTTGGAGGGTGGCGTCCGTCCCATAGCCGGATTTCTGACCTTCGAGGCACTCTCTGGGGCAGGCATAGGTACCGCCCGTGTCCCTGGACTTTTTCTACCCTTCGACGCTCGTCTCGGGGCACTGGGCGGTCCTGTCCTTCGAGGTGAGTGTCTTACTCTACTTCCCGCTCGTCTTCTAACCCTTTGTTGTTTCTTGCAGGTTCACCACCCGATAGAGACCAAATGAATCACGCCGAGTGTCTGAAGACCAGGAAAGCCAAGGCGGCCGCGGCCAAAGCTGCGATGGCGAAAGCCAAAAACGCCCCCGCCTCGGAGTCCAACTCCTCGGCCTCTGATGCTGCCAGACGAACTGCCGAGGGTGAGCAGCATTTAATCGCCACCATGCTGGCCCAGGGTTCCGGGGGCCCTGCTCTCGAAGCCGCCCTTCCGCCGCCGGTCGTCCCCACGAAGACGGCTCCTCAGAAGGGGACAGAGAAGGTCCCCGAGAAGAAACAGAAGCGGGGCCGCGAGGCAGGCTCCACCGGCCCCCTGCTTGAAGATGCCGGGTCCCTGCCTTTGAGCCGCCCGGCGGAAGAACTTTGGAGGGAAATGGCCCTCAAGGCCGGTCTCGAGCTGCCCCGCCGTTCGTCGTCTGAGGCGACAAGCGCTGCCCTGGCAGCCGCTCTTCAGGTAATCCCTCCTTGCTAGATCTGAGTATATATATTTTTTCCTTGACGTTCATCCCCTGATCCTTATTTTTTCTTCTGTCATCCAGTCTGGGCTTCTAGTCCTTCAGGCTGAAGCTGCCAGGGAGGCCGATCTGAAGGAGGCCAAAGCTAAAGCTGATGCGGCCATCGCTGCGGCTCGAGAGGCCGCTCGCCGAGCTGAGGCGGAGGCTGCGGCCAAGGGGAAGGAGATCGCCGTCCTGCGGGCAGAATCCCGCCAGCAGCTGGTCAGCCTTGAGAAAGCTGGCTTCAAGCTTGTCCCGGTGCACCCTGTCGCGAAGGATGCGAGTCCGGAGTGGCTGGTTGATACCTCCGGCTACCGGAACACTGGGGAGTTCATGGACTCTGCCAAAGACTATTGTGCCGGAGTCTTCGCCGACTTGTTTGCCGCGGCTCTGGAGAAGATACCGCCCCGCCAGCGTCTGGCCCGCGGCGTCCGGCTACTTGAGGGTTCTCCTCTGTCCCGCAAGTTCCTGTACGAGGTCGGCGACAGCACCTTCTCAGCCGGGTATAACGAAGGGGTTAAGGCCACCCTCCCCATCTTTTCGAGGCTGCAGGGGCCTGACTTTGAGCTTGCTGCAAATACGGACGACGATCTGCTGCTCCAGGCCCTGGGGAAGTTGGGGAGAGACCAACGGCGGGAGGAAGCCAAGGCTAGAGGGGAAATGCCGGAACCCCCGTCCCCCGAGCCCGAAGAAGAGGAGGAGGAGCTGAACCAGGGTGGCAGCCGACCGGAATCCCCTTTCTTTGTATAATGTAGTTTGTATTTTCTTATTCATGCTCTTGTAATGTCCGGCCATTAGAGCCGAAGAATATATATCTTTTTGCCCATAATTGCTCCATGTTCATGGTTTCCACTTGTTATTTTCCTTCCTTTTGTCCTTCGTTGTATGGAAAACCCCTTCGGCGGCCCGACACGCCTTGTAGCAAGGTCAGAGTCCGAGAGGACGTTCGTATCTGTCCCCTACTTGCTTCCAGGCAAAAGCGTCCCGAAGTCAAACCTCCGTACGTACTCAAAGTGTTCTGATAATGGGGCGACGCTCGTCGGCGGTTTATGGTGCATGCTCGAAGTGTAGACATAGGAACGTATTTCTCAGCACCAGCACTTGATAACGATGTCCGTCCGTCGTCGCGTGGTATGAACATTCAAACCATGCGCGGGACGCTCGTCTGTTCTGCGTGTTCATCTGGTATGAAGTGTGGAAAGGCGACGTTCATCCTCCGCGCACTGCTAATGGACGTGATTTTTCCTTCATCCTTTTTGTGTCCATTGTTTGTAGTATAAGGAATCCTTCCGGCGCCTCGACACATCTTTACCGCCCACGCGGTATCTTGACAATGGGAAGACGTTCGTCGGTAGCTGTTTTGTCAGTATGCATCTTGAGTATGGACATATGGGCGTATTTCACTGAAATAGCGCTTGATGACGACGTTCGTCTACAGTTGCGTGACGTGAAAACTGGAGTACCGCAAGACGGACGTAGCCGGTTGATGCGTGTGCCCTCATCAGCCGCCGACGCTAGGGTCAGCCGGGGGACTAAGGAAGCAATGGAAGGCGAATGTCTTCAAATTCCTCCGAGCCGGTGAGCCCTCCTCAAGGGACGTCCGTGGCACGGACCCGGATGTCTTTGTGGTGGTTATGCGGCGACAAAATCGAGACGCCTTAAATACCGTGGTAGGTACCGGTACCCAGGTGTCACGTGTCCCGCTTCGGTTGGGGCAATTCTGCGGTGTTGCCTATAAATACCCAGGGTCCAAGTGATCCACTCACATTTCTCCTTACGCTGCCCAATTGTTTTCTCTCTCTAGATTTCTCAAGTACCAAGATCGGAAATCTCGAACCCCAAAGGTACCGTTCGTTGTCATGTCTCCCGAAAGTCGCTTTGACGATGGATGTTCTTCCAGTGATGACCTGGAGTATTATGAGCGGGGAATGCCACCCCGGCCTCCCCGTTATAGCCTCAGCTTCTCATGCGTTCGGCGTCAAGTACAACGCCTGACGAACGCTGACAAGCGACTGATCAGTCAATGGTTTTACCCCCCAAGGACCTACGACGATCGGCGTCTTCGGAGCCCCATGCGCCATCTGCCCGGCTATGTGGTGGTCCACCTGGATTCGGTGATAGCCGGGCTGAACTTCCCTGACGTGCACTTTGTCGTGAGTGCACTCAAAATAAATTCAATACTAACACTTATACGTAGTATAGCGTAGTAGAGTTCGTATCCACAGGGAAAGGAATAACTTTCTTTTTATATAAATAGTAAATAAAAAGGGGGGGTTTTGATCGAGTGATTTGATTAAAATTAAACACGAAGATGAACGAGTTATGTGGTTTAATTCAAAGATAAAAGGGACTTGGCATTGCTACTTTACACTTGTTGATATATTTTAGTCGATCATTGTTATGTCTATAACTTATTTCCTCTCGAATACTCAATCGAGGAGTATATCCAATTCATCGAGGATAGTTATTAACAACGACCGTTCATTAATAACCCTTACTATTAGTCAAGTATAGAACAACGCCATATACCGACTTGATAGTAGCATTTAATCTTTTAACTCCTTGATGAAATCAATTGAGATTGATAACCTCAACACAACGGTTTCGGTTTAACCAACAGAGTTAATCCCTCTTAAGTTTATTAACCACGACCGTGCATTAATAAACCGAAGTTACTTACTTGTGAAATTATCAACGATTAACCATCGGTTCGTTGATCGTTTCTAGTAATAATTAATATATGAAACAAAACTAGTTGATCCTTTAAGTAATGTTCAAAATATTAATATGAAATATGAATAGGAATTAACTAATATTCAAGGAAGAATATTAAAGGGAATGAATCCTACTATAGTTAAATATCAAGATGTTAACTAATTGTCATCTTAGCAACACTCCCCGATATTAACATAGAGGAAGGAATAGCTATTACTAAAACCAATGTCAAGATGTTAACTAATTGTCATCTTAGTAACACTCCCCAACATTGATATAGAAATAGTATTTAAGAGAAGCATTAATATTCAAGGAAAGAAGTTAAGAAAATAACTCACAACTTTAATAATCAACAAGCTTCAAGAGCAATACCAAGAAATGGAAGTTTAGCTCCTCATTTGGAGACTAAACATGCTAAAAGAAATATAAAGAAATGCTATTCTAAACTGAGCTTAAGAGTATAAAGGAATTGGTTTTTTAAAGTGAAGGAAAGGAGGTGTATTTATAGGCTTTTTGAGGTGCAGGCTCGGGTACTCGATCGAGTATATACAGATACTCGATCGAGTATGTGTAGAAATACCAGATTCGAGGTATACTCGATCGAGTATATGTTCATACTCGGTCGAGTATGTGCAGAAAGTGATATTCGAGCCATACTCGACCGATTTCGGGTTTAAAACTCAAAGGCATACTCGATCGGGTATGTCGGTCTACCCGATCGAGTATAGACACTAAATCGTGGCCAAAATCTTCCCGGCATGTTCCTTTGTCTTCGGATCCGATCCGATTTGAAGTTTCAACCTTATACTCGATCGAGTATAGGTAATACTCGACCGAGTATAGACCAAAATCAGGATTTTCCCTTTTGTCTTGTGATTTTGCACCTTCCTTCCACTTTTGGGGTTCACCAACTGTCCTTTGAGTGATGGTAGACCTGTTTGAGCTCAGAATGACCCTAATCTAAACAAATTACAAGAATTCAACAAACTAAACTATTACACCAAAAGTGTGTAATTCCGAAATACTAAACAACCAAAACTAGCTAAAAACGTAAACATACATACTGAAATTACAAGTGTATCAACTCCCCCACACTTAGTTCTTTACTCGACCTCGAGTAAAACAGAAACATCCAACCGGTTTAAGAGTTTTCCAAAAGTTCAAGAAAGAAGGAAACTAAGACCACCAAGGGGAAAAATGAGTTTTTACAACAACATTCTTTCTTGGGTTTAATGATCTTCTATGCTCCATCTTCTTGCCTTTTTTTTTTCTTCTTTTTCTTCTCTTCTTCCTCTTTTTCTCCAAAGAGATTAAATGAGTGCATGCAAAAATAAATATTTCTCTCATATCTCTCATTTTGCCTAGGAGCCTTTTCAGGTTTTCATCCTAGCATCTCTTTTCATTTTCCATTCTCCCAACTCACTCATCATTTTTCACAAGCCTTTTTTTGCTTAGATTGCCCATTTTGTTGGGTTTTCAACCTAACTAGCATTTCTTTTCTTCAATTTTTTTGTTTTTTTTTTTAAAGAAGTTCATGCGTAGTAAAAGGTAGAAAATAAGATTACATACCCATGATGAGTCTCCTCCCCCACACTTAGTTCAAGCACTGTCCCTAGTGCCCAATTTCGGCTTTTGTTGTTTGTGGAGTAGGGTGATTTTGATTTTTGGTGGGTTGTGGGTGTTTTGGTGGGGAAATGATGGAGATATGGTAGAGAGAAGGTAGAAAAATGGAGTTTTGGGGAGAAGGGGTCGAGGTTGGTATGGGTGTCTGGAGAAGATGAAGTGTTTTGGGGAGTGTTTTGGGGTTAAGTTGCAGATTTACCCGATCGGATACTCAACACAGGGGTTCGAGTATGAAGTTTTCCAGTAATACCCGATCGAATATGGCTTAATACTCGATCGGGCCTTCAAGACAGGGTCTGGTAGGTTGATTTTCCAGACATACTCGACCGAGTATATGTCCATACTCGATCGAGTGCTGGAAACAGGCTCTTTTTGGATTTGCCTTTCTGGACATACTCGACCGAGTATTACTGATACTCGATCGAGTATGCCTCCAATGTTTAAAATACTGACCATTTCGCTCGAGTATGGAACTCGGTTCTCCCTATTTTTACCCATACCCGACCGAGTATGGAAGATTACGCGATCGGGTATGTCCCCAGATACACTTTTTTTTTTTTTTTTTTTTACACACGCACACATACTGAAATAAACTGAAAAGAAAACATACCTTGCTTGGGTTGCCTCCCAAGAAGCGCCTAATTTAACGTCGCGGCACGACGCCATCATTGTGTTCAATCGTTCAAGCTTGGATCATGATAATTAATTTTCTTCAAATTTTCACTCCTAGGACCTCCATAGGAGTGCTCAATTTCTCGACTCTCCACTTTGGAAATCTTTCCAGGATCAAATATCCAGATTTTCATTGATTTATGTGGTGGGAGGAAGGGGAAGAAATTATCATGTAGTATGGTCAATGAAAAGTTTTTCGATCCCTCAATTTTGAAGGAGATTTCAGAAATGTCATTGTCCTTTTCAAGTTTATGAGTTTCTCTTAAAGCGTCCAGGGATGATGGAGATACCTCAAAGGATGACAATGACAAAAGTTTGAGTTTGAAGCTCGGCTTATCCTCTTCTTTGACCAGTTGGAGCTCCGTGTCTTTTTCTTCTTCTACTTCTTCTGGATTCTGGATCTCCTTTTGTATCTCCTTTTCATTTGTCAATGTGATTGCAAAAGTTTGCTGTTTAGGATCACATTCTATTTGAGAAGGAAGTTTTTCTGAATCCCTTGCTTCAAGCCTACTCACGGCTCCGGCTATTTGACTCATTTGAGTTTCCAAGTTTAAAATGCTAGACTTGGTCTCATTTTGGAATTGTACCATGTTGTTTTGCATGGTGGTCATGTTGGTAGCAATAGCCCGGACCATATCCTCCGTAGACATATTAGAGTTGGAGAACGGATCATACCTCATGTGAGGTTCATCCCTTTTGTAACCAACATCATCACTTTTAAGGTATTCATCTTGGAGCTTTGGGCAGAAATCCGTAAGATGTCTGTGAGACATGCAAATGTTGCATGTGTTGGCATCTTGAGCTTTTGGGCTTAAGATAAATTCCTTTATTAGAGAAGTCAAGTCGGAAATTTGACTCTCTAGGGATGATAGTTTGGTATCCATATACTCATGAAAGCCCAGAAATAGAAGAGTAAGATTTTATTTTTATTTTTTTTTTTCTAAATTTTTGTTGTTTTTATTTTTTATTTTATGAGATAAAATAAAAAGAAAAATAATTGCCTTTCCCCGGCAACGGCGCCAAATTTGACGTGCACTTTGTCGTGAGTGCACTCAAAATAAATTCAATACTAACACTTATACGTAGTATAGCGTAGTAGAGTTCGTATCCACAGGGAAAGGAATAACTTTCTTTTTATATAAATAGTAAATAAAAAGGGGGGGTTTTGATCGAGTGATTTGATTAAAATTAAACACGAAGATGAACGAGTTATGTGGTTTAATTCAAAGATAAAAGGGACTTGGCATTGCTACTTTACACTTGTTGATATATTTTAGTCGATCATTGTTATGTCTATAACTTATTTCCTCTCGAATACTCAATCGAGGAGTATATCCAATTCATCGAGGATAGTTATTAACAACGACCGTTCATTAATAACCCTTACTATTAGTCAAGTATAGAACAACGCCATATACCGACTTGATAGTAGCATTTAATCTTTTAACTCCTTGATGAAATCAATTGAGATTGATAACCTCAACACAACGGTTTCGGTTTAACCAACAGAGTTAATCCCTCTTAAGTTTATTAACCACGACCGTGCATTAATAAACCGAAGTTACTTACTTGTGAAATTATCAACGATTAACCATCGGTTCGTTGATCGTTTCTAGTAATAATTAATATATGAAACAAAACTAGTTGATCCTTTAAGTAATGTTCAAAATATTAATATGAAATATGAATAGGAATTAACTAATATTCAAGGAAGAATATTAAAGGGAATGAATCCTACTATAGTTAAATATCAAGATGTTAACTAATTGTCATCTTAGCAACACTCCCCGATATTAACATAGAGGAAGGAATAGCTATTACTAAAACCAATGTCAAGATGTTAACTAATTGTCATCTTAGTAACACTCCCCAACATTGATATAGAAATAGTATTTAAGAGAAGCATTAATATTCAAGGAAAGAAGTTAAGAAAATAACTCACAACTTTAATAATCAACAAGCTTCAAGAGCAATACCAAGAAATGGAAGTTTAGCTCCTCATTTGGAGACTAAACATGCTAAAAGAAATATAAAGAAATGCTATTCTAAACTGAGCTTAAGAGTATAAAGGAATTGGTTTTTTAAAGTGAAGGAAAGGAGGTGTATTTATAGGCTTTTTGAGGTGCAGGCTCGGGTACTCGATCGAGTATATACAGATACTCGATCGAGTATGTGTAGAAATACCAGATTCGAGGTATACTCGATCGAGTATATGTTCATACTCGGTCGAGTATGTGCAGAAAGTGATATTCGAGCCATACTCGACCGATTTCGGGTTTAAAACTCAAAGGCATACTCGATCGGGTATGTCGGTCTACCCGATCGAGTATAGACACTAAATCGTGGCCAAAATCTTCCCGGCATGTTCCTTTGTCTTCGGATCCGATCCGATTTGAAGTTTCAACCTTATACTCGATCGAGTATAGGTAATACTCGACCGAGTATAGACCAAAATCAGGATTTTCCCTTTTGTCTTGTGATTTTGCACCTTCCTTCCACTTTTGGGGTTCACCAACTGTCCTTTGAGTGATGGTAGACCTGTTTGAGCTCAGAATGACCCTAATCTAAACAAATTACAAGAATTCAACAAACTAAACTATTACACCAAAAGTGTGTAATTCCGAAATACTAAACAACCAAAACTAGCTAAAAACGTAAACATACATACTGAAATTACAAGTGTATCATTCCCCTTGCACAGCTTCCACTTGGAACTCTTCAGGGCCCTTGAGATTGTGCCTGCGCAGCTCGTCCCTGCCGCTTATCGGATAATCGCTGGCTTCATCATTAGATGCCACAGCGTCGGTGTGACCCCCACCGTGGACCTGCTGCACCACTTTTTTCGTCTGTCCACCTTCGGACGCACAGGGTATTTGACCCTGATCGCCCGTCCGTCCATGGTTCTGTTTTCGAACAACGCTGGGAACCCGGACGGTTGGGAAGAACGCTTCTTCCTGGCTGGCGTAGGCTCACCGATGCCATTCTCTGATCGGTGGAACGCTTACCCCGTGAAGACGATCCCGCCGCCCATGACGGACGAGGAGCTTGGATATGCCAAGCGCATAGCCGGACTTGGCATCCAGAACCTCCGGTTGCTGGTGGCCGAGCCCTTTAAAGCTCAGGCTGGATTAGGTGCGTCCGTTTGTACTTGTATTGTTTTAACCTCTCTTTGCTGTTATGGTTCTGAACGTCTTGGTTCCCGTTGTGCAGGAGTTTTTCCATCCACGTCCATCATGCGCCGAGACAATACCGCTCCGTCTGCCGCCGGTCGTGGACACAAGGGGCATGACAAGCCTGGGAAGCCGCTCGTCCCTAAGGTTGAGACCCGGGTGACCAGGGCCCGGACTGAGGATGATTTGGGAGCTGGTGCCTCCAAGAGACCGCGCGTCGAGGGTACTGCCTCCAAGGCTATCATAGTGGCCGATGACTCTGATGGGGAGCCCGGAAGTCCCCTTAAGCGGAAGCCCGCCTCTCGGAACAAGTCCCGTCTTTCTCCCCCACGAACTTCTGACGTCCGTCGTCTCCGGGATGATGATGCCCAGACTGCCAAAGATTCTGACGATGCTCGTCCTCCTTCGCCCCCGGAGACCAGTGGGTCCTCCCTCGGTTTGATTGAATTTTCCGGGGTTGGCCCGCGCAAGGAGTCAATGATGCTCTTTGGTCAAACAGCATCCTCTATATGGTGCGGCCTGAATCTCAAGGTCCCCCAGGATTTTGCTGCTCAGGAGGCACCCGAAGACCTTCTGGAGTGTGGTCAGAGCACTTTGGACAAAGCCGGGCTCTACTTCCACAGGGCTCGGATGGCCTTTGAGCACCAGGGCAGGGAGATGGCCAGAGTGCGGGCTGAGTGTGATGCCCTTCTGAGGAACGCAAAAGGCAGGGCTGGCACTCTTCAAGAGAAAGCCGATGCCTATGATAAGCTCGTTCAGGAGAATGCCTCTCAGAAGGAGCTCCTTAAGAAGCAGGAGGCCGAGCTTGTGGATCTTCGCAGCCGGATGTGGGCCGTAGAGAAAGCCAAGGTGGAACTTCGCCAGACGGGCGTGGACAATCATGTCCCTATTTATGAGGCCGATGTTGCCAAAATCAAGGAGTCTGGTTCCATTGCCTTTCAGAAATCCAAGGCTTATACTGGCGCCATCCACACTATGGCCATGAAGTTCCTCCCGTGGCTCGTTGGCGAGTTCCTGGCCACCTGCCCGGATGCTTACCAGGATGGGGTTAACTTGCTCCAGGCCACCCCCACCGGACGTCGTTTCCTTGACGATCTCGCCGATGACACCTACCGCAAAGGTATGGTTGGGCTAGTAGCGGAGAATCTCCCGACGTTCGAGCGTCACTTTGGGGCTCCCTTCGACCCGGAGGCAGCTGGCTTCGACGTTTTGATGGCAGATGCTCATGCAGGGGCCCTTGAGCTACTGAAGGAGCAGGAGGAAGCCGCTAAGAGTGACAAGTCCAAGCAGGCCCCTTCCTAATCTCCAGCTCCGGACGCCGATCGGCCGTGGTTCTCCGTTCATTATCTTGTACTTAACAATTTTTCATTTTCTGTATTGTACCTTCATACATTGTAATTTTCCGGCCAATAGTGCCGAGGAATAAGAATCATTCTTTGCTCCGTGCTCTTCTGGCATCTTCTTTTTTTTTTTTTTTTTTTTTTTGGAGTCTTTTAGTCTTCGTTCGTCATTGGTCCTTGGTCCTACCGGCGTCCCTACTTCGAGGAGACGTTCGGTATCCGCGGACATCGCAATGAAGAACAGGTATATCTACATCGAGATTCCCCCTTTTTTCGTTCGTCTCTGGTCCTTTTAGTCTTACCGGCGTCTCTTGCATCGAAGAAGACGTTCGGTACCCAAGGAACTCGCAGGGACGAACTGGTTTACCCTCACGGGTTCCCGTCTTTGTTATCCCACGTCCATCGATCCATGGTCATTGTGGGATGAACAGGTTTATCTTGGCAAGGCTCCCTTGGTTCGTCTAGCCCCCTCCGCGTCTCTACTAACCTCTACATCGAGAGGCGTTCGTCTTCGGCAGTGGGAGAAGATCTGGCACACCCGGGCAAGATTCCCTTCCTCATAGGAGCTACCCTCCTCTTCTCCCCATCTTTTCTCTCTTTTTTTTTTTTTTTTTTTTTTTTTTTTTTTTTTTGAGGGAGGCAATCTATGGTTTTCGTTCGTCCTTGGTCCTTGGTCCTACCGGCGTTCCTACTTCGAGGAGACGTTCGGTATCCGCAGACATCACAAGGAGGAACAGGTTTATCTGCATCGAGATTCCCTGTGCTTCGTTCGTCCTTGGTCCTTGGTCCTACCGGCGTTCCTACTTCGAGGAGACGTTCGG